ATTTGTTTAGCATCTCAACCGATTTGAATCGTCACATATTTAAATCGATTTTCAACTGGCTCGCGGTTAATCATTACATCCCTAATAACTAGTAAAGAGGAAGAGATGATCAGTTCACGTGCCGCTTGATCCAAGGCACTACAGCGATCTGTCACGACACATTAAAGAGCATCAATTTCATTGTAAAATTGAAAGAATTTGAAAGCACAGACTGCTCAGACACTAACACAGTCAAAATGCACCATTGGAGTGTTAATTTCGGTCTTGCAAAACTGTTTATATATATAGATATATATAGCCAAATATAGAATATTTCCGGTTCCTGAAATTTCAGTGCAACACTATTGCAAAGTGGCCCAGACTTCATGCTGATCTTAAAATTAGGGCTGTCAAAATTAACGTGTTAATTGTGTGATTATTTTTTTGTAGTTTAACGCATTACATTTTTTTTTTTTGCAGTTAACACAGTGTGGTGAGGGGGCGTGGTTCAGCGAGGTCTGTATATAAAATAAATATATATACACAGGTCTGTAAATAAAATTTTTTACCGATGTCCTCACTACATTTCTGGGTCTGGGAATATTTCAGTTGCGTTGCTGTCTATGGGAGGGTCAGAGAGCTCTCGGATTTCTTCAAAAATATCTTAATTTGTGTTCCGAAGATGAACGAAGGTCTTACGGGTTTGGAACGACATGAGGGTGAGTAATTAATGACAGAATTTTCATTTTGGGGTGAACTATCCCTTTAATGTAATCAGTTAATTGTTTTTAATGGATTGACAGCACAGTGACACAATTCATGGCCTCACCTCCAGCTCGATCCTCTTCTCCCCCGGGGTGTCTATGAGGTAGCGGGCCAGCGTTCCCGGTGTGGTCCTGTAGGTGAGGATGACCGAGTTCTTGGCGTCCTGACACCACTGTATGAAGAGCTCCCTTGAGAAGCCAGACTCCAGATCGGGCTGGCTGCACAGAACCACCTTCGGGCTGGGCACGCGGGCCAGATCGGCCAGGCCGTGACAGAGCGAGAGGTGGCGGAACTGGAAAGGGTTGTTGCGCTTGTCCTCGAAGCATCGCATCAGTTTATCGCTCATCCACTCGACCTGTGAGAAAACACCAGAGCTTTCTGATTTCTGACACGTCTCGCAACGTGCAAAATTTCCAGAAAAAAAATCTAAATATTTCATGGGATTTTGTGCTGGTTTTTAATCTTTTCATACTCTTCATATTCAATATAAGCAACATTTGATTTCCAGAGGATTTTTACCTTTAGAATGGAATTTAAAAAAAATAACTTTATTAGATAGATTCATCACTTTTATGTCAAATTCTTACATTTAATCAATAAATTCAATTAGAATAGTAAGAAATGTTTCATTGAAACAACTGAATCAGTCGGTCACTGAATCATTAACTAAACCAACTCGTTCAAATCGCAGATTCATTCAGTAACGAAGCACTGCTATGTAGCTATTGTTTGGGGATGCAAAAGCCATGGGAAAAAAACTAAAACGTAAAAAGGTAATTGTGACTTCTGACTTTTTCTCAGAATTCTGAGTTTACATTTTGCAATTAATAACTCGCAAATTTGCAACTGTGAGAAATTCTGAGAAATGTCAGAATTCTTTACAATTCTGAGAAAATTCTTCACAATTCTGAGAAAAAATTCAGAATTCTTTACAATTCTGAAAAAAAGTCAGAATTCCTCACAATTTTGAGAAAAAAGGTCAGAATTATTTACAATTCTGAAAAAAAATCAGCATTCTTCACAATTCTGAGAAAAAAGTCAGAATTCTTTACAATTCTTAGAAAAAAGTCAGAATTCTTTACAATGCTGAAAAAAAAATCTGAATTCTTTACAACTCTGAGAAAAAATTCAATTCTGAGATTATACCTCCAAAATAGAGACAGAAAAATTAAATCAGAACTGCAACTTTATAACTCATATTTGTGAGAAAAAGGATGAAATGTAACAAAATATTACGTTTTTGTTAAATGAGCCGTTTCATAAAATCAATATAACATTTGCAATCATGCTGATATTCAGGAAAACAGCACTCTTGTTCATATGATATTGCTTAACTATATAATTTGATATAAATATAAGACAAAAAATGGCCCTGTCTGTCTTGAATTTCGGGGGCATTCAGACGGCATTAAATATAATGCAGTGAAAGCTGTTTGGTTTTTGCAAAGCGAGTGACATACTCTATAATGGCAGCTTGCACATCATTAAACAATTACGATATTATTGTAGACCACACAGACAACATTTCAAAAGGACTTGACTGTGACAGAGAGACCTGGGACTTTGAGAACTCCACCACGTTGTAGCTGACGTTGTTTAGCAGGGCGAGCGAGTAAACGCCCAGTCCTGCGTCTTTGGTCCTCCAGATCTGATCCAGGAGCTGAGCCAGTTCCAGAACTCGCCCCGCCGTATCCACCGCGATCAGCACGTTCCCGTCGCCACGGAGGGTCTCCATGACATTGGCTTTAATAGAAGGTCAAATGTCACACTTATCCAAAATAACAGCCTTAGGAAGTCTGCTTCATTGATGCAAATAAGTCTGATGACAAATCACCAAACTCATTTTACTGCTGGTTTAGTCTGAACTTACTGAGTAGTTGCTCGTCACGCTGTTTCCTGCGAGGCTGAACATACGAGGCGTTGAAGGAGTCTGTGATGAGGAGAGACGGTCTGCTGATGGTCTCCAGGGAGCAGCCGTTTAGATGACTGATTGGACACAGCAAACATCATGTAAAAACTGCTTTACTCCACACCAGCATCAGAAATTAAAAATGGCAAAGAAAGTGACAAAATGGCCCAGATATTTAAAATGTAGGCCCTAGTTCATTTTATTATGAAAAAATTAGCTACATATCTATCTGATGTTGGTTTGATATTTAATTAACAGTCATAATTGTTCTGATTTCAGCATTTATCAATTGGTTTTATTTAAAGCTTTATTAAATATAACTTATTAATTAATATTTCTAATAAATATATAAATCAAATCACTTAAAATTTAATTACTCAAACTATTTATAAAATATTATTTGAGAAAATAATATAAATTATAAACATAATATCATTAAAATTTTTCCATATTCAAATAATCTAAAATTGCTTTAAAAATGTTATTTATTCTTAAAATTAATGAATTATCTTAACATTATGACAAACAATTCGAGATGGTCTGAATATGAACATTAAAGTAATTTTGTTCGTTGATTATTAATGTATAGGTGAATGTGTTTTTTCATATTTTCTCAAATAATAATTTGATATCTATAATTATATATTTCAGTTATTTGTTATTATATATTTTGAGTTACATATATATTATTATTTGAGCTTTATAATTGAGTTATATAATTATCTTTTTATATTTGATTTTGTTAATTTCACTTTATTAAAGCTACTTTTGTATCTGATGTTGGTTTGATTTTTAATTAACAGCCATAATTGTTGTGAATTCAGCATTGATTAATTAGTTTATTAATTAGTAAATAATAAATATTATTTATTCAATCACAAATTATTCTTTGATAAAATAGTATTAAAAAAGTATTTGACAAAACACGTGTTTTTATTGGGTTAGGAGAAAAATTACCTCATAAAGGGCAGAAAATACCCCCGAATATCAATTCCAGGGTGCAAATATTGGGTCCCAATAAATAAAACTTTCTGATACATATTAATTTTATCTCCAGGTGATTTCTTTCATACTTACATCTCTCTCTTGTGGTTGAAATCCACACCATAGATGATCTCTTCCTCTCCGTCCTTCACTATTTTCCAGATAGTGCCACCGATCATGTGACCCGCAGGAAGTGGGGTGATGGACAGACCGTGACCTTTTCCTGTTCGTTAATAAATTATGAGTAACTTTCAAGATGTCCAAAAGAACACATTATCATTATTTGGATTATTAAAGCTTCATAATGTCTGATTGGGTTTTCTCTTTTTGCACATGTGAATGAGGACGTTTTCTCACCTTTCAGGTTGACGATCTGAGAGTATTTCAGCTGCTGGATCTTGTCAAAGGCTGAATCGACGTCATCCAGTGTGAACAGAGTGAAATCTTCAGTGTTGTGTCGAGACTATGAGATCAAATAAGATGGAACCATTAATATTTCAGCACTGCCTCAAAGCGAGAAGTATCGAACACTACAAAAAAAAAATTATATGGGGATTTTAAGTTCAACTAACAATTCAAGTCTATGATGCATCATAAATCTCTGTCAAAGTGAAATAATTATAATAAAGTGCAGTTCCTGCATACTACCACTAAAAAAAGTGATTTTCTCCAATACGTCACATTTAAATCTATTAAATCTGACTTTATTTTCATGATAATTAAGTATATTTTAGCCCCTAAATTCCCATCCTGAAAAATGCTTTATCATTACTGTAATGTGAAAATAATTCAAATAATATATCATATTTACTGTACTGCCTTTATGCTGATTTAAATTTTTACTATAGTAAATCACCATTGGGAATAATGGGAATTCAGCTTAAAAGTTAAACATCTGGATGCATTACAGTAATAGGTAGTTTTGGGGAAAATGTGCTTAATTCTTATGAAAATTTTATTGGTCCTATAATTGGGTTAATTTTCTTTATGCAAAAAAAAAAAAA